GCCCCCCGGGGCGGGTGACCTCAGCCGGCCGCCACCCAGCCCGGCTCCGTGCGGATGTCGCTTAAGATGGCAGCGGAGACGGGGGAGCTCCTCGGGGCTTGCGAGTTCATGAAAGGTGAGGGGCCGCCTCCCCGGCGTCCGGCCGCCTCTCCGCGCCCCCTCCCCCTCCCCGAACCCCAATTCCTCACGGATCCCTTTGTCCCTCCCCCCCCTCCGCGCCCCGCTCCCCTCCCCGAGGACCCCCGGGCTTCCGGCTTCTCTTTCTTGCGTCCCTCGTTCTTTTCTGCAGCTTCTCAATTAGTGGGACCTGGCCGGCTGCTGCCGGGGGGCGCGGGGAACTTAACCCCAGGGGTCGGGGTGTGTGTGTGTGTGCGTGTGTGTGTGTGTGTGTGTGTGTGTGTGTGTCGGTGGGGGGAGAATCCTGCTCCGGTTCACCCTCTCCCCTCCCGCCCTACTATGGCTAGCTTTGGTGTTCGGGACACCCCCTACCACACCCCCCTTCCTCTCCGGCCTCTCCTCCTGCTCCTCTTCCTCCCTTCCTCTTCTTGAAGTCCCCGCAGCGTCCCAGGAGAGGCTCTCTCGCCTCTCTCTTCTCCTTCCGCAAGCATCTCAGTTCGGAAGTAAACTTTCCATCTCCCAGTTTGGAGGGGGGTTACCCCGAAGCATGGGAGATCAGGACCCTGGGTCCCTCCGAAGCATGGGGGACAAGGACCTTGAGCCCCCCACCCGGCCTCTCGGTCTGGCTCTCTTTCTCTGGCCGGGGAGGAAGGTTTGGGGGGGTTCTCTGTAGATTTGGGGACTGGGGGGGTAGTTGGAGAGATCAGGTTTCTACAAGACTGCAACGTGTTCACGGGGTCTTTAAGTTAAGAGTAGCAGTTGTTACAATGTGTTCTCTTGGGTGTTATTACCAGCCTTCCTCGCACGTCCCTACTCATGTTTTTTTTTTCTACTTGTCTTTTTTTAAAATTTGTCTTTCAGATCGATTATATTTTGCTACTTTAAGGAATAGACCAAAAAGCACAGCAAATACCCATTATTTCTCCATCGATGAGGAGCTGGTCTATGAAAAGTAAGTCTCTCTCTCTCTCTCTCTCTCTCTCTCTCTCTCTCTCTCTCTCTCTCTTTCTTTGATGTGAGAACACTGTTCTGTCCCATTGTGTCGTTTTAATCTACTGCTCTGCTGTAATCCCAGGGAACATTACCATTTTTTTTTTTAAAGTTTAGGTGTTTGAGGAGTGTGGACACCTCACACCCCCTAGACTGCCACCGGGCAGCCACACACACACACACACACACACACACACACACACACACACACACACATTGTCATTGCCTGTTGCTCTCTAATTGGCCAGTGAATCAGTCGCCGGTATTTATGGAGCACACAGAGTACAAGGCAGTATGTGGATTACAGGTGCTATTTAAGTGCCCCAAACTTTATGGTACTACCTCCCCCCCCCATGAGTGCAATATTTATTTACTTTGTTTAGTTACTTGACATCTGTTGGATTAGGATTTAAGAATGCAAAGTAACTGCTGGAACTTCTGTGACAGACAGGTGACCCAAGGAAAAAATATTTTAATAATGTGAAGGATTTTTTTTATAATATATATATATATATATATTATTGTAAAGATACCATACAGAGGGGTTACAGTTGCATGAGTAAGGTAATGAGTACATTTCCTATGGAGCATTGTTACCTCCTCCTTTGTTTTTCCCCTACCATCCCTTCCATTCCCATCTCCCCAACTCCTCCTGCCTCAAAGGATATTTTAATAGTAAAAAATTAATTGGTTTGACCTATGTCACTTGTGGGCAGGGAAAGGAGGGAGAAATTGGGGGAAAGTAAAGGAAGGGATGACATTATCAAAAAAAAATGTACTCATTGTCTGGCCTAAGAAATAGTAGCCCCTCTGTTAAACACCTAAATTATAACAATAAAATTATTGAAAAATTATGGATAAATCTCCAGTCACTAAAAGCAAGATAGTAAGGACTAAGGAAGTTAACTCAGTCATCTTTTATTAAAAGAGCTGGTATTTCAGAGGAGCCTTCTACGTTCTAATTTAGATGTTTAATTTTAACTTCTTGTTCTTTTAACTGGATGTGCAGTTGAACGTGCATAGTTAAATGAACCATAATAAGCTTCCTAGGACTTGTCCACTTAGGGCTGTTGGCTGTTCTACCTAAGGATTTGTGGGTACTACCAGGCCTTTGGAAAAGTGAGCACTGTGCTGTCTTTTATTTGAGGGAAGACAATCTTGAATTGTCACTTCATTGGAAACTGATGTCTTCGGGCTGTTGCTCTATGTGGTACTGGGAGCTGGGTGCTTCTTGAATGGCTGAGAAAGGGAATGAAAGAGTCTTTTGCTGCAGCTTCTGAATGCCCAGAGTTGCTGAGCTAAAGTCGAAATCCCTGATGTCAGCTTACAGTTCTGCTTCTAGACGGGATTGTACCAGCAGCTTCCCTGACCCCAGTACCTGGGTGATGTCATTGCTAGCCAGCAGTGTTTATTGAGTGGTCACTTTGTTGTTGGGAGTATATCTTCTTGAGCTTACCTCCCCTCCCTCCCTCCCTCCCTCCCTTCCTTCCTCCCTCCCTCCCTTCCTTCCTTCCTTCCTTCCTTCCTTCCTTCCTTCCT